TTCTTTGAAAGTTTATATCTAGAGGAGATGGCTCTATCTCTGTCTACTTATTTATTCACTGATTCCTTCACTCATTCAGACAGTGCTACTTATAGTAGTCCATGAAGCAAGTGCTTCTTCTCATTTGTCTCTCCAGAGAGAGAAGGTACTCAGGTGAGTTCTTTTTTTTTTTTTTTGAGAGGTTTTCGCTAAAGGGCGCGTGCGCTCACCAGATAGAGAGAGACATAGAGACAGAAAGCGAGAAATCATCCCCCAGGGGGGATGGCAATCCCTTCTCCTCCATTCTCCTCTAGGGATCTTGGGCACGCACACACACGCACCCGGCATTGAGTTTAAGCCACCGGGTCCAGAACGCGAACCACAGTCGACTATGTGCGAGTCCAGTGACATAGCCATTACGCTAACTGCTGGTTCCCATCAGGTGAGATCTTGAAGCTCAACTCTGACTGAAGAATTTTAGGTAGCCCTTCATATTGAACGTGATTTTGATCATGTAACTGCACAAATATTAGATTTGGTTGTGAAAAATAAAGATAAAAAGCTTGTTTGATGTAATTAAAAAAAAAAAAACTGCCAGAGAAGTTTCAAATAAAAGCAATGAGTATTCTCACTGTGACTGATTTGCAACAAATATCCCTCAGTAGAAGAAAGTCTGTGAATACCATTAACTCATATAAAAATTCAGATTAGGTTATATTCTGAGCTATAATAGAATCATGATATTCCATTACGTGTCATAACTGATTATTTAGGAGCCTGTGTTGTTTTTAATAATTCCTATGATATGATGTATTTCTTTCTTTTTTTTTTCAGAATTCAGGGTTGGACATAAAGTAGGTATAAGACCCAAAGGTTCTTCTTTGTCAAAAACCTGGGACTTAAGGGTTTTGGGATACAGCGTCTTATCTTGGAAAACTCTACAGTCCTTAAAGAATGAAACAGTGTGGGTCAGACAAAGCTGGATACTCCTCTGAATAAGGTCTGACTGGGTGTCTAGGGGCAAGATTGAGATTAGAAGAACAGAAAACTAAGAGCCTTCCTTGTATTGTTCCAGTCCCTATGGAGGCTTCTCTGTTGTCACTCTTAACTACTTTCATGTTTGACTGTGCTACTGTAGTTTCCTCTTCCTAAAATTTTCTTCTCTTTTAAGCAAAGTACTTAGCTGTCAATACTCACAAATTCCCCAGACTAAAATATTTGTGATATTCAGTCTTCTTTATGAAATCCATAAACCTTTTTGGAAATGAATGCATCTAATTATTATTATTTGGATTTTTTTCTTCCTTTTTTTTAAAGAGATTTTTGCTATAGGGCACATGCACTCACCAGAGAAACAGAGACAGAGAGACAGAACACGAGGACTCACTCCCGCAGGAGGGATGGCTGTGTCACAATCCCTTCTCTATTCTCCTCCCAGGATCTTGGGCATGCACACACAGGCGCCCGGTGTGAATTTTAAGTTGCTGGGTCTGGGACTCGAACCTTGGTCAATTATGTGAGAGTCCAGCGACATAACTATAATGCCATCTGCTGGTCCCTAATTTGGGCTTTAAAGACAGCTAATGAAAACTTAAATAATTTTGTTTCTAATGCTTATTTTCCTATAGGAAGATATGTATTGAAAGGAAGCCTCATGGATATCCATCTTGCTCAACAGTTATTTTTCTATTATGAATTAATAAACATTGGTTTTGCATTTATTCATCAGGCTGTCTGAGTTTGGTTAATACGAGTATCTCGCTGGCAAGGGCAGGAGAAAGGCTAAAGCAACCTGGCCTAGCTAGTCCCCAGTGGGAGAGGACATGCCCCAGTGGGGAATTCCTTGGGCTCAGAGAAAGACTTGCACCTGAGAGAAGGGAAGTAAGAGGGGCTGCTTGATCTATTTACAGATGGCTGACTCACTCAGAGATAACAAACAAACTAGATGTTGTAAAAGACCACTTGGTATGGTGTCTTGGGACTAGCTTAATTGCCCCACCCCAGGAAATGAAATCCCTTTCTTTTAGAAGTCCTTAACCCCTGCCCTTCAAGGCAGATGCAATTCTCCACATCTGCCACTTCCCTCCCTTAGAAAGTGAATAATAAACCATTTTCTAGCCACAAACAATTACACACACACACACACACACACACACACACACACACACACATCCACATGTACCTCCCATAAAAGAGTAGTCTGTTTTAAGTATATTGGGACTTCCCCAGGTGACATTTATCTATAAAAAAGACCTTTCCATTCCAACTACAAGTGTAATTATATTACTCTGCTCAGAGAAGTTTGTTTAAGGGGTTCCATGTTCTTTGTAACTCCACCAGGCCCATATGCGGGCTTAAGCAGAAAGGGCCTCCAAGGCCAACACCAAAGAAGTGATTGATTTTTGGTCACAGTTACTGAAGGTGGGCCAAAGGTGTGGGTGAAGGTAAGAGGTGCAATTAAAGAACTGAGTCTGCAGTGATCCTTAGGACTATTAATGGAGGGGAACTCGAATAAGCTCAGCCTTTCTATAAACAAGCATGTAAGGATTTGGAGTCATGGCCATTTGTCTCTCACTAATGTAAGGCAGGACATGTAATCTCCATCTTGCCTCTGAAGGAGGGATCAGCTACATATATGGTCACTCAGGCACTTGAGCCGAGCCACCTCTCCATTGACCAAAAGTTGGAAGGACACAGCCAGTAACTTATTTTCATGCTTCCTTCATGTTTTTGTTTGTTTGGTTTGGTTTGGTCTTTTTTTTTTTTTAAATACAGGGACCAGCAGTTAGCATAATGGCTGTGTCGCTGAACTTCCATGTAGTCGACCACGGTTCAAGTCCCAGATCCAGTGGCTTAAACTCACACCGGGTGCGTGTGCGTACGTGCCCAAGATCCCTAGAGGAGAATGGAGGAGAAGGGATTGCAGCATGGCCATCCCCTTGGGGGGGGGGTGGTTTCTCACTTTCCCTTTCATTGTCTCTCTGTTGAGTGCAGGTACCTATGGCAAAAATCTTTAAAAATGAAAAATAAAGTTTCCATTACATCTGAGATTATTCTCATGGTCTGTGTCTGCTACTTAGAACAAAAGCAAAGGGGACTCCTTTGCTGTCTCCAAAAAAATTAAATACTATTCCTGCAAGAAATTTATAACAAAGTTTTCCATCCAAACTAAGTGTGGAAAATGTGGTATATTATTACTCTCTCCTGGAGATCCTCAATTAGTATATCACAAGTTCTAAAAAGTTCTGGTTGGCAGAAACCTTTATCTAATTATTTAAAATTATTTTGAATGCACTATCTCAAACTTATTTGATTACATTTTTTTTTTTTTCCGAGCTAGAACATCTACACCAGTCACAGAATTGGTGATATACGGAACACACTTAAGGAAACATTTACCCAGAAATTATAAGGAAATCTTGCCTGGGAGGCATCCTGTCTCTCTAAGGTGATTTTCATTCTCTCTGTCATATTCATATGTTTATTATTATCATCATAATTTTTAAACTCAAGCTCCGAGAGAGTAACCCTATGTCCTTATTTGTGTGTTTCATAGAGCACCTCATTGCTGTCCTTTGTGCCAGCTGGACTATTGGGTTTTCTAATGTTCTCCTAAATTACTGTCAAAAATAAATACATGTTGCCACATGTCAGCCCCTTTAATGTGACTAAGGAAGCCTTGTTCCTATATACTTCCTCTTAAATGCATTTTGCTAAAGGGCATTTAAAAAAACACATTAAATTTTATGATGACTTTAACAAACAAGTCAGTGATCATGATTTCAATGTGAGCAGTAAGCAGTCAAGGAGAAAGGTCAGAGAAGCCATGGCATATAGAGTTTCTGCCTGGAGATGCCTGACTCTCCCTCTGCAGCAAATACTAGTCAGCTGACTCCCCGATGCTATAGTTAAAACATAGATTCTAAATAGTCAGGCTAATGACTCCAAAATTAAAATAGTCCTGGCCCCTGGATGCAGCTAGTAATTAACTTTTAATTTTATACAGAAGCATGTCATGCTTTTGACCCTTGACTTTATTTAGTTCTCTCCTGGCATTTCAAAAGCATGATCTGCTAAATAAGGTTGTTAAAATCAGTATTACAGAGAGAAGCAATTGCGGCAAATGTGCACATGGAAATTATAGCCAGAGGGGCATGTGAAAGAGAAGCTGCCTCCCTGAACTTAAATTTGTGCTAATTGCTATTGCTATATTATTCAAAATTATAAATTAGACTATTAGCAAATGGACTTATGTAAGACCTACAGGAGCAAAACAATTATTGTCTTAAAGCTATGGAATGTTACAGCTGGAAGAACATGTCTGGAATAGCTATTAATACTACTCTCTTTACATGTGAGGAAACTGAGGCTGGCCAAGGGAGCCTCAAATAGTTAAGGCTGTACAACTAGTACGGAGGAGTCTGTTCTAGCACACTGCAGAATAGACCCTGAGGGTGAAGCATTATAATTTTCTTTGCAACTTTGCAGGGTTTTTTTTTTTCTCATTTTTGTTTTTCATAGGGTGCATGAGGTCAACAGAGAATAGAGACAGAGAAATACAGGAAGAGGGAAAGTGAGGAAGCACCTCTCATGGGGGATGACCATGCCACAATCCCTTCTCCTTCCTTCTCCTCTCAGGATTTTGGGCACACATTCACACATATCCAGCGTAATTTTCAAGTTGCCAAGTTCGTGACTCAAACCATGTTCAGCCACGTGGGAGTCCAGTGCCTCTGCCACCACGCCACCTTCTGGCCCTACTTTTCAGATTCTTAGAAAGCATGTTTGAGTTTAATCCTTATCTTAACAGGTAAAGGAGAATTGTGGTTTAAAGGGTAAATGGGAAGAGTATGTGCATAGGCCAGATGAAGCGTAAGTGTTCTGTCAGTAACTAAGAAGTTTGCACTTGGACTGACTTTTATTTAATATGGTCTTTGTTCAGGCTGTTCATACTAAACAATGTTGTTGGCTTAAACAACAAACATTTATTTTCTCACAACTCTAGAGGTTCAAAGCCGGGGTTGGTTATTGGAGTTGGTATCTGGTGAGGCCTCTCTCTGACCACCTTCTCACTATGTCTTCACATGGCTTTTCCTCTCTGTGGAGGGAAAGAAAAGTGACATCTGTAGTGTGTTTTTCCTTGTCTTATAAGGATCCTCATCGTATGAGATGAGGTTCTCATCCTTAGGATCACACTTACCCTTAATTATCTTCCTAAAGATCTTATCTATACATATAGTTGGATTGGGGGTTAGAGTTCAACAGATGAATGGGAGGACATAATTCAGTTTATAACATTCCACCTTGTAGGCTACCCAAATTCATGTTCTTTTCATATGTAAAATATGTAAAATACACTTACTTCTCCCCAGTAGTTTCTGAAGTTTCAACACATCCCAGTATCAACTCCAAGTTCAGAGTTCATTTAAATATCTACATCAAAAATAGATAAAATTTGAGGCATGATTCACCCTGAGGCAAATTTCTTTACCAGCTGTGACCCTGTGAAACAAGACAGGTTATGTGCTTCTAAAATACAATGGTTGGACAGGTATAGGACAGATAATTATGTTCCATAATTGATAACACAGAAAAAGCTAAGGGTGAGGCCAGCAGAGGTATGGTGGTTAAGGTGGCTTAAACCCACATGGCCAACTGCACAGTTGAGTCTCACACTCAGTGCTTGAGAAACACACCAAGCTTCAGAAGCACACTGGGCACATGTATATGTGTGCCCCAAATCCTGAAAGGCAGAAGACATGGAGAAGGCATTGTGGTATGACCATGCTCTCTGGGAGTTCTCTCTCTTTCAATGAATGCGCTGGTAAATTACAAAAAAAGAGAATGATGAGTACCAATCAAGTCCCAAACCTAGCAAGGCATATTCCATTAGAGTATCAGGCTCAAGAGAACTTTTTGACTTGGTTCTCTGTCTTATGTACCCACTGGAGTCACTCAGAGGCCTGATTCTGCACAGTGGCCTTGCTTGTTGAAGCCCTAGGTGGGGAAGCTTAGCACTCTGAAACCAAGGAGGTGGACCCTCCTCCTAAAATTGAAAAGGATATAGCCTTTCCCTCCTGGATTCGTGGTGGGAGTGTAGTCTTATGATCTCTTAATTGTCTTTGGGGTCATTTTTTTCTCTTTTCTTGAAGGATACTGCATGTTCAAAACCGTACAATAGCCTTTCTTCATCCCACTTCATTTTTTTGGTCTTCTTTTGGTTAAACTGGCAGTACAGTGTGGTTCTGCTGGTATAATTTCATCTTTATTCCTGTCTTCTGTTGAGATGGCTATTAAAATCATAATTTCTTAAAAGATCAATTATCTAGTCATACTGTTGTTGTCGTTGCTTTGTTTTGCTATAGGGCACTTGCACTTTTGGATACATAAACAGAAAGCGAGAAATAACCTCCCAGTGGGGATGGCCATGCTACAGTCCCTTCTCCTCCATCCTCCTCTTGCAATTTTGGGCATGCACGTATATGCGCCTTGTTTGAGTTTTAAGCCACCGGGTCCAGGACTCGAACTGTGGTCAACTATGTGAGAGTCCAGCAATGTAACCTTATGCCATCTGCTGATTCCACCCTTGGTGTTCTAACCAGAACACAATTTTCAATTTTCACAATAGGAATAGGATAAGAATTTCCCACATCTTCAATTTCTGGTTCTTTTTACCTAATGATGCCTTCAATTTGTCTTGTTCCTCTCACTCCTTTCTTGTGTACTATGAGTAGTAAGGAAAAGTCAGGCCACATCTTGCACTCTTTGCTTAGAGATTTTTTTTTCAGCTAAATATCAAATTTCACCATTCCCAAGTTCTGCTTTCTACAAAATTTTTAAAAGAGCAATTCAGTCAAGATATTTGCCACTTGATCACGAGAATTGCTCTTTTTCCAATAACATGTTCTTCATTTCCACTTGCAACTTCATGGGTACGGGACTTGAACTGTGATTGACTACATGTGAATCCAGCAACAAAATCATTACGCCATCTACTGCTCCTCATTAATTTTTCAGCACCCCATTTATTAGTTCCAAAATATGTATTAGTCAGTTCAGGACACTATAACACAGTTCCACACATCAACTGGCTTAAGCAGAAACTCATTTTCTCACAGTTCTGGAAGTTACAAGTCCAAAATCAAGGAACTTATTAGGTAGTTTCTGCTGCAATCTCTCTGACTTCTTGGAAAGATGTCACCTTCTTGCTGTGACCTCAAATGGTCTTTTCTCTGTGTGCATGGAGAAAGGGAGAGAGATCTGGTATCTCTTCTTCTTCCTATGAGGACAGGAAGATAAAGGCCACCTTTGTGACCTCATTAAACCTTTACCTCCCTAAAGACTCTGCCTCCAAATATCATCACATTGGGAGTTAGGACTTCAACATATGAAATTTGGGAGACAATGACCTAGTTCATAATAGCATGTTAAACATTCATTTTGAGAAGGAGCTCTGGACTGAGTGAACAGATTGGAAAAGCAACACCCTTGTGGTTGTGATCAGTTTCTCCCATTCCAAGCTTGGGTCCCAGCTTCTATACCTTGCTATATCTTAACACCTAGATTTCAATTTTAGGCATCTTTGAGTTACATGAGATCCTAAAGTTGTCACTGTGAGTGCCCTCACCCTATCAGCTTTTTTGCCTGATATGCTTCCCACCCTGTGAGAAAATGTTGCCACTCAGCCAATTTCCCTATCAGGTTGACTAGCTGTCTTCAGCCTCATGGGTTTTACTTCCCCAATAGCCTGTGAAATTATTCAAATAAGCCAATTACATCCTCCTGTAGGAACCAGGGAGCACCTCTACAAACCTGTTTCCCACAGACCCAGATACTTCATATTGCCCTTGAGTGCCACCACTGTGTGACTTTGCATGGCGTGTTGTGTTTGCCTTCCCCACATTGTAAGTAATATAACTAATAAAACACTGTTAATCTCGTCTATCCAGTGTCAGGTATCACTGAGATGAAGAATCCCTGTTTTACCAATGGTATGAATATGATGTAATCAGAACACATGCTCAAGAATATCAAAGTCCTTCAATTCACCAAATTATGCCTATCAGAAATGACTAGTTTCTCTGCTGCTCCATAAGGGTCCTTGCAAGGGACTTTCTAACATTTTTCTTTAGAGCATATCTCTTTTCTCCACAAGGATCTAAATAAACACAATTTTCTCCATCTACTGACAGTTTCATCTGCTCTTATTGATTGGCACTCTGAGAAGCATCCCTTAATTGTGTGTGTATGTGTGTGTGTGTGTGTATCTTAGGAAAAATGTTGGATATCAAGAAATCTTCATATTAGTAACAAGGCTGTTATAATTCAACAATTAATACATCGAAAATAAGAGATGTCTGGCCTCAAAGGGAAGGGAATCTTATACCATGAATATACATGATATCATGCAGTATCTACTTTTGAATAAAACTGAATCTTATATTTCTATCTCAAAATTAACTCAATCTCAGTTTTTGGAAAACAGCTTGTATTTCAAAGGTTCAGGCATAAGCTAATCCAGGGATGACTTTAAAAAGCATGTGTCCCAAAAGTCAGTATTAGAAATGATGTGTAACTTTACAAATTAGGCCTTAGAGAACTTTTTAACCAGTTTATTTCACAATTAGCAAAGAAAATATGACATGGAATATTTGAAAGAAAACAAAAAAAAACAAATAATGTGTCAGCCAGAAAGTGTCTTTTACATCTAGGCCTCCATTTGTCTATCTAAAAAAATATGGATTTAGGAAATGCCATAGGTCATTTCAAGCTTCAATAAATGTAAAAATATTGAAGATTTAAACTTTAGACTCAGGGAAGCATAATGAGCTTGTTTATTTCCTATTTTTCTTAGTACGTCATAAAATGATGGCAAAAGATTCAACTTGGAAAATATGTAAAGGTAGTAGAAAGGATGCCATAAGTTGCTCAGAGATTTTAACACAGAAAATGTAAGAGAAAAAAACCTAAGACAGAAAAGATTTTAACTAAGTAGATAGAATCATCATATAATTAGAAATTTGGGAAAGAACAGAAATCACAGGAAAGTAGATGGGAGGAAATTATTAAAAAATTATTCAGAACCCAAGCGAGAGGTAAGTTTTCAAGACAGAGCTATTATAAAAATACTCATACCCACAAACGTCATTGTTAAATTTGGAATCAGCAGGGATAAATAAAAGATTATTATTATGATTATTTTTGGAAAGGCTTTTGCTATAGGGCGTGTGCACTCACCTGAAAGAGAGAGACAGAGAGACAGAAAGCAAGAAATCACCCCCACACACACACTAGGGTATGGCCACGCCACAATCCCTTTTCCTCCATTCTCCTCTCAGGATCTTGGGCATGCACACACATGCGCCTGGCATGAGTTTAAGCCACCAGGTCTGGGACTCGAACTGTGGTCAACTACATGGGAGCCCAGTGACATAGCTATTACAGCGACTGCTGGTCCCAATAAAAGATCTTAAAAAACTTATTTGGGTACTAACAGGTGGCATGGTGGTTAAGGCAATGGATTCCCACATGGCAGACCACAGTTTGAGTCCTGGATCTGGTGGCTTGAAAATATTGTCAGGTGAGTATGTGTGCATGCCCAAAATCCTGAGAGGAGAATGGGGAGAAGGGATTGCAGCATGGCCATCTTCTCTAGGGAGTGATTTTACTTTGTCTCTCTCTCTGTCTCCCTCCAGTGAATGCACACCCCCTATGGCAAAAAACAAAAACCAACCAAACAAACAAAATCTAACTTATATTTAGTGAGAAAGAAAGAAAAAAAAAAACGTCTATCCAGTGTCAGGTATCACTGAGATGAAGAATCCCTGTTTTACCAATGGTATGAATATGATGTAATCAGAACACATGCTCAAGAATATCAAAGTCCTTCAATTCACCAAATTATGCCTATCAGAAATGACTAGTTTCTCTGCTGCTCCATAAGGGTCCTTGCAAGGGACTTTCTAACATTTTTCTTTAGAGCATATCTCTTTTCTCCACAAGGATCTAAATAAACACAATTTTCTCCATCTACTGACAGTTTCATCTGCTCTTATTGATTGGCACTCTGAGAAGCATCCCTTAATTGTGTGTGTATGTGTGTGTGTGTGTGTATCTTAGGAAAAATGTTGGATATCAAGAAATCTTCATATTAGTAACAAGGCTGTTATAATTCAACAATTAATACATCGAAAATAAGAGATGTCTGGCCTCAAAGGGAAGGGAATCTTATACCATGAATATACATGATATCATGCAGTATCTACTTTTGAATAAAACTGAATCTTATATTTCTATCTCAAAATTAACTCAATCTCAGTTTTTGGAAAACAGCTTGTATTTCAAAGGTTCAGGCATAAGCTAATCCAGGGATGACTTTAAAAAGCATGTGTCCCAAAAGTCAGTATTAGAAATGATGTGTAACTTTACAAATT